TTGGGTTACTTAATGTTTAGATAATATATCAGAAGAGTTATTAAAAGTTATTTAAAACATTTATTTAGTACATAACTCTTTACATCTCCAGATCTTCAATTCAAAGTCAAAATTCGTTTAATTATTACTATTAATAATCTATGCTTTGGGTCCACCTTTTAGCTGTTTAATGAGCTTTTTATATTATTTATAAAAAGCTGAATACCTATCATCACCGATTAGATATTTATTTTTTTAAACGAGTCTTTATTTACTAAATAATCTATTATTGTTTCAATTTCTAAAATTATAACATACATATTTTTTATATATTATATTTAACTTCATTTAAGATTTATTCTATAAATATGATATAAATGACATAAGGGTATAAACTATAATATACCATAATATAATAATAATCAAAATATAGATATCTACAATGGTTGTTTATTGGAAAATAATTAATAAAAATTTATCTCAGATATTCTTAAAGGACTCATTATATCAGTGTAAATATCTTTTGAAACTTAATATTTCTGAAAAATTAAAGTCATGACAAAATTTGATTGTATGAATAATTTGGTATATCATAACAATTTAATACTCATAAACGCTTATAAAATGTTATTTTGATATCATTTAAGAAATGATGCTTAGATTACAGGAAGAGATGTTTTATATACAGTATTTAAATTTAAATTAAACAAATTTCTATTAAACATAATTTATAACATTGAATACGAGTTATAATTATTGAAGAGATGACTCGTCTCTTGCATTCAAATGATGTTAGGATTGAGTTAATTATAGACAGAATCTTCTCGTATAAGTAGTTCAGGAGTTTAATCATTATATAAGACCTAAACAACTGTTATAACAAGTTTTCTTTTTTAAATAGATTTCTTGTTGATTATAACAACTTATAGTTCATTTTATTTTTATTCACTCAATAATTATTATAAAATTAGTATTTTGTTCACACAGTTATCGCAAAACGACAAAATCAATGCCAAACTACATAAGCCATTGCCATATCATCACAATATTTGCATTAATTTTATTTTAAAAAGAGTTGATAAACTCTTTATAATTACTGATAAGAGAGTAATTGATAGCAAAAATTATAATCATTTATNCGACAAAATCAATGCCAAACTACATAAGCCATTGCCATATCATCACAATATTTGCATTAATTTTATTTTAAAAAGAGTTGATAAACTCTTTATAATTACTGATAAGAGAGTAATTGATAGCAAAAATTATAATCATTTATAAATATCGTTTGCTTACAGCCCGTGACTTAGCCCCCAGAGTTTTTACAGCCCTCGCCGGCTATGGACTCGACGTTTTCAAGTATATAATTAATTAATTGTCGTTTTTATCAGTTTTGTCTTATTTTCCATTTTTATATATCATTAACTAATTATCTTTTAGACCACTGGAAGGTCAGTATTGGTGGTCGGCTGGTCTGGTGGCCCCACATATCGGCGCTATCATCGGAGGTCTGATCTATGCCTTAGGAATAGGAATGCATAACAATAATAGCGACGATTCCAACGCAAGTCTCAGTACTTTAGTAACGGTTCCCATCACTAAGAATGATGTCATCTATCAAAGAGGTATACATGCCGTCCCACACATTGTTTGAAAAATACTTATACATTGTTAACAAGTGTGTAATTAATTGTATATTTGTATCTCAAAGCTCGACAAGTGATCACCGAAAACATGAAAGTGTCGCCAATGGATAGGGAGAGAGAAATTCATAGAAATTTCTAAGCAATCGCTAATACATAATATAAAAGCTTTTTTCATTGTATAAGTTATTTGTAAGAAAATGAGATCACAATTACGCTGACGGCTGTTAATAAAATGCTAACTTTTCATCAATTGGTTGCCTTTATTTACTTCTTTTTTCTTATTTAGCCAAAAACCAAAGTCCTTTTTCGCAATTTATTTCCTATTAAAATCGTTTATATATATATTTTCTCATTCATTTGTTATAAAAAAGTTTTCTGTAAAACAATTCTCGCCATTCAATTGATTATTAAAAGAAAGAGTTTTAAAACAGTTTCAAAGACAATGTTATCATAAATTATATTATTTGTAATAATCTCAAGATCTGATTGCGAATAAAAAGCAAAGTAATTGTTATTATAATGATTGCTGTCTTTTCATTTTATTATGAATGAGTTTTTTCATTAACTTTTTATTCATTGCTTTGATCTAAATTAATAAACAAATTGTTTTATTTTTATAATTATTACATTTTCTATTGTAATACTGAACATAGCTTTTAGAATTTGTTTGAATTTTCACTTTCAATATATGAGTTTCAATACATTATGAATAAGTGTTATGATAATTGTTATATTTTTATTATATTTTTAAATATATTTATCATTAATAAATACTTTTTATTAGTTTTTATGATTGTACAATATAACATTTTAAATAAATAAAATTATTTTTAAATTTTCTATATATTATAATAGTGTTTGTCTCTCTAACACATAACTGAGGGCTTTTGTAATCCTAATTAGAGACTGAACTTGAATTTGAAAACAATTAGTTTTTGACTTAATATTCAATTTTTAATTAACCTTATTTGATATTATCTACTTATGTTTAAAAACATTTGCTAATAATATCTATACAGGCATAAGTAGAGGTGAATAATATTTTATCGTTCATTAACTCGCAGACACTGGTAATCCTTAATAACTATTGTTTTAATAAAGGGAGCACGAGATCAACACTAATTAATAAATGGTTTTATTTGAATACATTTTAAACTACAAAATAAATATCAGTCTACCAATTATTTTTCAATTCATAAGCTATAGGCAATACATATTAAAATATGGTAAATTCCGATAAACATAAATTTAAGCTACAGATACCCGATTATATCCGTGAATTTATGTCTGAATTTATTGGCACTTTCATTCAAATGGTCTTAAATTATTAAAACAATACAGTTTAACATAGAATAATAAAAATATCAAATTCTAGTACAGTATAATAAATTTGCAAATCTAACAGTTTTTAGGTTTAGCGTCACTGATGTTAATATTCATATCTCCCAACAAAGCCATTCGTTTGCATTCAGACCCCGAGTACGCCAACTGCACCCCTCCCTGTAGGGCACCCGATGGACTCAATGCCCAGGACGAGGTCTATGAGATACAGCTATTTCCCATTTATATTCTAGTCATAGGATTCACGTGGGCCAGTGGCACGTTAGGGGCTTTTATGATATCACTTCCCATATCTGGTACTTCACCGTAACTGATCCAACATTTTAAAAACTATTTTAAAATATAATTTCAATAGGAGGTTTTCATAACCCGGGCATAACTATTAGTTTGGTAGCATTGTCACGTTTGCATTGGTATTAATTGATATATCATTAATTATACACTAATTGTCTATTTTTGTTAAAATAGGAAAAAATTACTTCACTTTATTCCGGCACAATATTTAGGTATGCTTTCCCAATCAAATGTGTCCATAGATTTGACTTTATTTAAATTTAGGCAGTTTTATAGCGGCCGCTGCCCTTCATCTCTTGTATTATCAGCACATAGACAGTGCCGATGCCGACAGAATCATAGGATATGTTTTCATCCCATCCCCACATCCGAGCATCAAATGGCTTTCAATGGCATTCATCGATGGATTCATATCGTGTGCTATCTTTGCTATGTTTGTCTTCTCAACTCTGGACGTCCGAAGCAATCCGATGCCCAACTATTCCCAACCGCTTATTATAGTCACCTTTGTCTTTGTCGCCGCAATGTTTTTCACAATTAATAAAAATGGCATTGTTTTCAATCCGGGTTTGTATTCAGCAATTCAATTATGAAAACAAATATCTGAATTGTATTATTATTGAAAGCCCGAGATTTAGGGACTCGACTGTACGGCGCTCTTGTCCTCGGATTTCAAAGAGCCTTTGAGTTCGTTTGCATTCATTATAACTTAAGATTGAATTTATTTTCTCATAACTTAGAGACTTATCGTATTGCTATTGGATATCACAACAGTTTTCGATGACATTAGGCTTTTTGTTCGGCAGTTGGTTTTATGTCTTCATATTTGGATCAGATTTACAAACTAAGGATAACCTCTCGAATGCCAATACAATGACAAACACTAAGAAAAGTAAAAATATCGGTCGCGAAGAGAATGAAATTACAAATCATAACAAAATGACCGATCAATTGGTGGCGGATAAGGATAAAGGCATCCAAACTTCCAGTGATTACCAAAACATACAACAAAATCACAAATAGCTTATTAATTGGTCAAAAAATAATTTCAATGTTAATTAATAATTTTATTAAATATTTATATTATAGTAAAACAAATAATAGTTTTAAAAAGTTTTAAATTCTAGCAATTATTGATGATCTTATTTGGAAATTATAATTTATAAAATTTGCATTTGCTGTTAAATTATTATTTTATATTTTAATTCTTATATAATATAATTGTATAAAAGTATTAAAAATTACACAGTAAAAATTAAAATATCAAATTAAAACCAATTTCCTATAAATATATTAGTGCTTTAATATAATATTTATAAAGTAAACAATTTTTATATAAACCTCTCCAATGAATAACTAAATCAATCAATTCATGAACACTCGAGATCTGAGCGAATATTTAGTAAAGAATTTTACAAATATTTTGATTCGGATTTATATAAGAATACAATGAATTTGTATGCTTTTCATATAGTAATGAAAATGTAGTTTTAGTGAAAATAGGTACTGTATCAATAAAATTTAATAATTGCACATAAATGTCACATAATTCCAGTCATTAGTAGTAATGATCACAAACAGTGGAATACTGTTTAACACCAAACATGTTTAGATTTGTGCATAATTTGCATTATTATTTAAAAGTATGAATGAGTTGTGCGATGAATGTGATTTAGCATTTTTACAAAAATTATGCAACTCTAGTAAAAAACTCTTAAACTAAGTATGCTTAAAATAAACTCTCATCTACGAAAGTATCAATGATTGCACTCAATTTGCCTTTAAATGAGATTCATCGACAGCTCAATGCATTGACTCACATTATAATTGAAATAAAATCAGTATTTTGTAAATAAAGTTTTATGAATACTATATCAAATGTTGTCTGTTATGATTAAATAAAAACATTTTGTGGAAAACATAACTCTTGAGGTACTCTGGGCTAAGCAAATCCAATATATCTGGTGCTGAGAATGAGACTCAAAGGAACGGCTATTTTATGTAAAAAGGACGACAAGATTCTGAAGGCGTCTGAAGTGTATTGAAGGCCTACATTACAAGCGGGCGGACACACGACGTTCACCGTCTCAACCAATTCAATCACTTCCTCCCTGAACCCCAACTTATTGACGGCCCGACACGAGTACAGCCCGTACTGCCTCTTCTCAATACGCTTCACACGGAGTGTTGTGTCCGTGAATTCGTCACTTCTGGCAAAGATGGAGATCTGGTAGTGTTGGTTGTCATTCAAAAGCTGCCCGTCCTTTAGCCACAAAACACTGGGACTCGGGAACGCCTCAATATGACAGTGCAGGTCAGCGTCATATTGTAGGGCCTGACCTGTCTGTGGTCGAGCTATGGATATAAACGGCGGGAACTCCACCTCCACCCCAATATGTCTTCGCGCACCACTACTGACACCGTTGTCAGCGACACAGTAATAGGTGCCTCTCGTGTCTTTGGTGATGTTGTCTAACCGCAGACTATTACCCCTATAGTACGCCATCCCATTCGGGAGCAGTTGGTTTTGCTCCCGACGCCAGGAGATAAGTGGCGGCGGATAACCTGACCATACATTTCATTATTTAGTCATTCAATTGATAACCAATTATAATGTGTATCTAATACCTGATGCATAGCATTGGAGGGTTACGTTTGCGCCCACATATGTAATCACACTATTAGCAGGGATTGGCATTGATTACATTCAATTTATATCATGTCTTAAGTTAAGTGAAACTTAAAGAAAAACCATACCTTCGAGTGCTGTTATCACTGATCACTGGAGGGATTTGTATGAACACGTTAACGTCAGCCGAGACCTACAGAACCATTAAGTTATAAAACAATTAAGAAAAGTTTCTAAACTGGTGTCCAAACACTGCAATCAATGGTATACTTTGCTGGAGATGCCAGTAGTGATTTCGCACCGGTATTCCCCGGAATCGATCTCTTGTACTTTGGATATAACTAACGTATAAATGGATTGCTTTTCATCGAATCGCACGGAGTAGCGACTGTCGGGTATAATAGTGGTCGAGCCCCGGGAGATAAATAAGTGGTTGTTGGGGTTGTCGTGATTCACTTTAGTCCACACAACCGGGTAGTCCTTCGCATACTGCACCTGACAGTACACTTCCAGTGAGTCCCCAATACTGACCACTTTCTCCTTAGTTATGAACGAAATGGTTGGGTTCTGTTGGCCCACCACTCCTCCCAATGATATCATACACGACAGCAATGAATATAATACAAGAATTATCATTATTTTCTATACAATTCCTATCAATTTAACTAAACATGAGTGTCGAGAAAGTTTGGCAAACTTTTGCGGTTAACATGTCTTGAGATTCATGTGATGACAGAAAGTTTGGCTTAAGATCTGTTTACAGTCACACCCATACGTACAATACATTCCGCACTCACTCTCATATGCCATCCCAACCCCAATACTGTGTACGCATTAAAAGGAATGGTATATAAAAAATGCAGTTATATAACACAGTATATACCTGTATGTATATCTACCTGTGCTGCGAAAAACCACTTTTTCTACCTGTGCTGCTGTTCATTGCTCTCACACTACCAGTCCTTGCATTAGTAGCGCTCTCTCGCGATACCACTCATCCTAACCATGGATTAAATCTTCAGTCACTGAAGTTTGAAACAATCAAATACCGGTGCTTTTGGATGAGTTTTGTGACAAACCTATTAACACACAAAATGAAATTAAATTATGATTAGATTATGCTATTAAAGCCTATTCTCATAACATTTGCCACCAGTTGTGTATCATTTCAATGAAAACTCATTATTAGGTACTATTAGCGGTAATTGTGTAATAAATACAAAACAATTATCTAAAACTTTTTAATCAATTGTGAAATACGATGAGAAATACACTTAAAATGAATAATTTATACAAAAAAACAAAAACAATTTTAGTTATGAATACAAATTATGTGAAAAACTGTTAGAAAATAAGACAAAAAACATATGAATTTGAGAGACAATACATTTAACTGTAAAAACCATTTGTTTCATAGAAATT